AGAAAGATATCGCCTTTACGCGGCGGTACCTCGATCCTAACCGTGTAACCTATGAGGTGTGCCTCCCACGCGCTCTCAACTGTGCCTAGGACTGGCGACTGACCTGTCGGGCTGTCCTCAGTATCATACACGCCGCAGTAACTTCTCTTTCGACACCCTGCAAGGGCGACTGATCACGCAAGGACTGAACGAGCTCGCGAAGCGCTTCGACCTCGGTGCCCTCTTCGGCACGGCCCCGCAAGACTACACCATCAGCCAGGCGCCCTTCCCTTCCAACAACTCCCTGCTGTCGCTCTTCGCTGCGCAAGCGATGCCGTACGCGCTCACCGTGAACAACTCGCGCGCAAGCGTGCCGAACATCATGATCACGAACTCGGGCTCGCAGCGCTTCGACGTCTACGCGGGCCCGTTCACGAAGAACGACCAGCTGACGGCGTCGCCGTTCGCGGATGCGTTCCTCTATATTCCCGAGGTCCCGTTCTCGATCGCGAACCAGGTCCTGCCGGCGCTCAACAACGCGGGCGCGAACGAGCGCAGGGAGCTGCGCGAGCGGGCGCTCGAGCGTGAGAGGGAGATGTACGCCCGCGGCGAGGTGGACATGCGTTTCCTGAAGTGGCTCGAGGACATGGATCGGAGGAGCAACGGCCCCGAGCGCAGGGCGGCGCAGAACGCGACGTTGGGATATGTCACACACGATGTATGCTCCCCGCATCTCTTCCTCGCCGAGGGGTCTTTGGCTGACGTCTGTCGCAGGATTGCCCGGGAGTCGGTGATGACGTCCTGCACGCTCCATTGGTAGGCTGCTCTCTTTCGCAGCTCTGTCCTTGGCTGACCCGGTCCGTAGCCGTTCTTCTCCACCCCCGACTTCATCGGCTCCAATCCGCCGAATGTCACGGACGACACGCCCATCGACCTCGTCTTCGTCGACTTCATCGAGAGTCAGCTGCTCGAGATCCTCAATGGCTTGCAGAGCGACAAGAAGTACAATACGTCGGACGTGAAGCCGTACACGGACGTGCTTGCCAACGCCGTCCTCGGCCTCTACGCGGAGAAGTACTGGAATTGACACTGAGCTCAGCTATAGAGCAATTTCGGTGTGGATATACAATGTTACACTTTGACGAACCATGCACAGGCCTGAAATCGACTCAGTGTGATCGCGACGCACTGAAACCGGCGCACTACAAGAGTGTGATAATAGTCCAAGGGCAATATTATGTACGGAGTTTCGCATTGTAAAGGTAAGAGGTATCAATGTATTATAAAGTCTATTATACCTCGGCCCGCTCCCCCCTCCCCGCATACACAACCAGAGCTTGTTTTGCAGCGTGGATCTCCTGCGCGATACACCATGGCTAAGAAACTCCGAACACTCTAAAAACATATGAACGCGACTTACAGTCAGACTCTCCGGGGATTGCAGTGCCAATAGCCGTGGCTGGCACGGCCGAGTCGGACCCAATCTCTGCAAGGCACCCGAACTGGCGGCACCCGCGCCGCTCCTGGACCTATGTCGTAGTATGTACTGTAAGATGCGGCGTTCCTTATCACACCCTGAGAACGACACGCTTACATTGGCCTCGACGGGACTCAGACCAGTACTAGGGACCGGAGTTGCGTACGCTCCAGAGAGAGCTGTACGACGATGGCCGAATGATCTCAGCTCTAACTCGTTACGCAGCCAGACGATCCCCCACGTACCTGCGAGAAGAGCGGAGAGAACGAGGGCACGGTTGACGATGGTAGCAAACATGATGGCAGCGGGTCGTATTCGCAAAGAGAGGAGGCAAAGGGCGACTCGAGAGATTATGAAGAGAAGAAGTAGGATAGCACTGGACGAGCCTACTTTCCCTCGGGTTCCTTCTGCGACCTCATATACCCGCTCGGAAGAGTGAAAATCTTTAGCCGCATCACGGGTTCCTTTGATCGCACGACGAGAGGTGAGTCCATCATGGCAACGAAAACCTGGACTGACCGGAACATCAGCGCTGGTGAGTCGTTCGCTGGGCCCTTGGAACATCAGGACTGTGGCGTGTCGGTGCCACCTGTCGCAGTAATCGCTGCAGGTACCGTAGATGGGACTAGCAAGTCGGGTCGACTGAGCTTTGCACGTTTGACTTGGCAGCCTGAACTTGAACCACGACCGACTTCACTATGTAGTAGCCCCCATCCGCGAAACGGTACCCAGGCGGCCGATGATCCAGTACCGCAGCACGACGGCATAGCCTCTTGCGCCAAGGAGCACGCTGCTGTAAGCCCTTGCACCATCTTCAAGTTGTACCCTAACGGCATCAGCGGCCTGAAACAGACATGCAGTGCGATTCAGCCCATACGCGGGACCCAGAGATAGTAGGCATTCTTCCTCCCGGCGGACCTCATCGGTTCGAATACGCCAAATGTGCCACTGGCAGTGTGTCGGAGAACTTGCCGATCGATCTCGTCTTCATCGAGTTTATTTTCAAACGGTCAGCTGGTGGAGGTCCTCAGCAGCCTTCAGAGCGACAGATGTTAACGTGTCGCCTTACGCGGACGTGCGCATCAAAGGGGGAAGTACTGGAACTCCGAAGGCTGGGCGCAGTAGTTCAGTGGAAGCGGTCTCCGTATTTGAATCACCTCGTGAAAAGAAATGTAGCATTTGAGACGAGGTTACCAGCGAGTGCATGTACAGTCTGACAGAGTCGACCGCTGTGAACACGCCTCTCGGCACACTAGCCCGCCGTTTGCAACTCTCAAAGTAACGACACTGGTCACTTTGTGATATGAAAGTTCAGGTGGATAGGGAGGCGACAGGCGGGCACAGGATTCAAGGTCAAGTTGAGGTACGAATCCGCATGGTGAGGAAGGGAGGGTTTAGATAGGCACTAGCAACGACTACCTCTACGCCCCTCCTCAACCGAAGCCAATGTTGGGAGAGTGTAGTACTCTACGGCGGGGATTACCTGCTCGGAGTGTCGTCAGCATTCTCCCCGATGACATGTAGTCCTAGAAGTGCGCCTCACATATGCCTCCTGAACGTCGCGTCGAGAATCTACTCAGTCGCGGTTTCCTCGAGGCAGTACGGGCGGCAGGAGCGCTTTGCCTAGCACGGAGAGTCACCATTAGATGCGGCGTTGAACTCCCCTCCAGCTAGACCACTCACGTTAGGCTCCACGGCGTCCACGGCGGCGGGGACGGGAGTGGCACATACTCCGGAGAGCGCCGTGTGCTGGGGGCCTGGTGAGCTCAGCTCGCAATGCGGTCAGGCTACTCGACGTACCTGCGAGGAGCGCAGAGATAACGAAGGCACGGGTGATGGGGCTAGCGAACATAGTGGTCGCGGGATGGTATATGCGAAGAGTGGGGGCGAAGTCGAAGAGGGGGTTTGACGAGAAGAGCTGAGGTAGGCAGACGAGTCTGCTTTGCTTCGATGTCCTTCTACATCCTCATATACTCGCTTGAACGGGTGCGGCCGTCTGGCTACATGAACGTGTAGCGGGCCCCTCTGCAGCAGCACGAGCCAGGCTTCTGCCGCGATGTGACGAGAGTGCTCCGAGACTGAGGTGTCCATCACAGGTTACGAAAACCCGCATAAACAGGGACATCAATGCTGGTGAGTCGTTGCTCGAACCTCCCAGGGCCTCTAGCAGATCACGTTTGTGGGGTGCCTGCGGAATGTTTGTAGATGAGACCAGCAGGTTAGGTACACAAGTGTGTGGACAACTGACTCAATAGAGTGGAAATACATAGCACACGCGGAAGGTAGTGACCCACCTAGTACGAGAGTATGTACATAGCATTCAGCATCTTGAAGTCAGGATGACGCTTTGTACACGGCAGGCTCTGTCGTAAAACATACAAGTGAGCGAGACCATCCACGACGGGCAATGGCCAATATTCTCCTCGGGAATATACAGAGGAAACGGGCGGGGCGTGTATTCCTTTTCCTGGAGGAAGTATGTTAACGATACTGAGCTTTGCCTAAGCAGCTGTTTGTATGCCGCATTCAATGAAGTACTTACTCAAATAAGCGTAATTCGCCCACTTTTCTCCGTCGCTGAACACGTCGGCGAAATGAGAACAGTCGCTGCACTTTTCCTAGACTGTTGCACCTGGGAATATCGGGTAATGCCCGCCGTGATCCCATTCTTGCCAAGCAGCTTGCGATCTCCGGCAGTACTGACCGACGCTACTGGGCATCTCGACATGGCGAAGGCACACCGGAGAGTTTCTCTCCGAAAGACTACGCTGCGGGGCCCATTGTTCCGGATTGAACCCAGGTCCTGAAAGCCAAGTCGTATTGCGCAGCGTTGATCGCGCCTGAACACGACGTTGAGTCGGCTACACAGTGGCATCGCCGCTGAAGATGATCGCCTGTGTCCCTCATCGTGAGGCTAACTGAAACCAGCAAAGACGGTCCTTCTTCAGAATTCCGAAGAGGGCAACAGGTAGCCGTGTTACCCTGTGATGGTAACGGTTGTGGGCGCTGCAAACGGTACGACGATAACCGGATGATAGTAGACGTACCTTGTTCAAATCGAGGCCATGCTTTTCGGCGGCGGCCTGACGAGTCGGAGTCCCTCGCATCTGATTCTTACCTGGGGACCACCGCCGGGCCTTGGCAGATGGGCGTATAGTGGCCTCTGGGTATCTGCCCTTGCCTGAAGCTGCAAGACCGCCGAGTCTCGCCGAGTACATTGCGAATCGTTGTGTGGCCGCAGGAGATAGATGATCTCCCCTGTACATTTGAAGTACGCTACGTATGGCGTGCGTCGACGTCTTTCTCCTTGCAACATCCGAAATTGAAGGCATTGTAAGGGCCTCCCAACGGCGGAACCTCGAGCTGCAGTGGTGTCGTCGTCCCTATGATCCAGTCATCCCCAGAAGACATATCAGTAGTTGAGTGCGGTGTCTTGATATATAGCTACGTACGACTTCGCCTGTATGCGGCACAATAGTGTGGTGGTGCCAAGCAATGCTGCCACGCACCGTACGACCATGTTGATATACGGAGGGAAACAAAATGGACATGTCCGGGATTGAACCGGACCCCTCTCGCACAGGCAAATCTGCACAATGGGCTATGCTAAGCGAGCGTGATAACCAACTACACCACATGCCCCTGTAACGAGCACGTAGTCCCTACGAATACGATTGGTGCAGAGATCCGCATTTTGGCAGGAGCATGGCCGCGCCTGTCGACGCTTACCATCGACTTACTGTAAGTTCCTCGGAGCGTGCGCAGCCCGGTGTCTCCGAGTTGGTCGATATTGCGAGGAGCAAAGCGGCCTTGGAGGCGTTTCATATCAGCAATCTCCGGCTCGTCCATGAGGAGTTCGAGCGCACAGTCGAAGAGCTGACGCGGGTGCCAGACGCGATGCCGCACAGCAGTGATTGTTCTCACTCTTGCCAGCTTAGTGGTAGAACGGCATGAGGTGTTGTCCGACGAGGAGCTTCTTGCGGGGTGCGTCATCCCGGTAGAGAAGATGTTCCCTAACATCGATACGAAGAGGTGTCGGACGGGGTCAGAGCGGTATAGTTGGGACAGGTGCATGGCTCCCTGGCACAAGGTGCTCGACGAGGTGGAGCAGCTAAGGCGTCCCGTGGGTATAACGCAGTAGTCTTTACTCAGAAGTGTGGATGCGCTTTTCTGAGTCGTCATGTTGGCCTGAAGTTTGGTTGCGCTAACACCTCCGCTTTTCTACAGATGATATTGTACACTACACAAGGAATATGCATTTCTTGTATACAGGAGATACCCAGCCACGCCTCATGATCAAAGATGCTCACCGCCCGCCAGATCTTGCCCTTCCGCCATCTCCCTGACTCTCGTCTCCTCGCTGCCTACAAGATCGTGCCCCGCCTTTTCCTCTGCTCCCGGACTGATCGCCAGCCCCAAGCAGCGCGCTGCAAACTCGAAGATCATCTTCTCCACCTGCGGCGCGTTCTTCGTCAATCCGTGGTTATCGCCCTCAAACAGCCTGATCTGTCTCTGCCCGTGCGGGTGTTCCCCGTACGCGCGATACAAGTTCTGCGCGCAGCGCGGCGAGAGGCAGGTGTCGCCGGTGCCGTGCAGCAGCAGCACCGGGCGCGGCGCGAGCTGCTCGATCCCATCCGTGTCGGCCGTCTGGGACGCCACGGTCGCGACGCCGACTACGCGTTCTGGTTCGCGCGCGGCGACGGTGAAGCAGGGCGCGCCGCCAAAGGACCAGCCGACAAGGACGAAGCGGTCGGACTGGAAGCGCGACGAAAGGTAGGACATGCTCGCGAGGACGTCGGGCGTGCAGTACTTGTTTCGCGCAGGCTGACGGTAGTCCAGTCGGATGCACGGTATGTGCAGGAGCGACGCGAACTTGTCGGCGAGAGAGGGGTAGATGCCTGTAGGGAAGATAGCCCAATGCTTCCTGTTGGTGGTGTTCGGGCGGCCTGACGGAGGCAGACGTACCTGCTGGTCCGCTCACTCCGCCCCCTGCCCCGGAGATGAGGATGACCGCTCCGTTCTTTGCGCGCACGGGATCATAGTCGCGAGGCTCATGGAGGATGGCGGGAGCAGCGTGATCAAGAGGGTCTTTCACCTTGATCTCGACATTGCGGGTGATGGGGGCCTGTATCGCCGCCCGCGCCAGGTTTGGTGGGTGAAGAGGGCGCAGAGAGCTTGCAGCGCGAGTTCCCATGGTTGAGATATTGATTTGATATATGCTCCGGGTTAGCTAGCGAGAAGAGCTCGATAGGCTTCGGGTTCGCAGTGGGCGATGAGACTCAGGATACTTGCGTTGGATGGTACGCGAACTTGCTGAAACCAGAACAGAGTGTGTTATATCGCTGCTGAAGATACGGTGACACGCCGGATGATTCATGACTTCACTGTGTTGTGGAACTGGCTCAAGCTTGCTCCACGGTTTGAGCAACATATGCCACAACTTGGTCCGGATCCGATTGCGAGCGCTAGCAATGACTGCAGCCCGTGCAATTGAAGAATAGGGCCAGGTAAGGTCTGCCAATACTTCATGTCAATTGTAGGACGGATGGACGTGCTTGAATCCATGCTCATGTAGCTCGACAGTGACATATGTCGTATGTACGCAAAACCGAGTTCCAGTTCCGATATGGGCGCAGCTCAAAGGTTTGAGCTCCGATGCATGGCAATCCGAGATGCGGCAAACTCCGTCAACGAAGAGCCCACACAAACGATCGCAGGATGCCCCATCCTGTGCTGTCAAATGCCGACATTCTCTTTGAGGTCTTCCGACAAGTCGCACGCGGACCAGATGACGAAAAGAGTCTGCGTCGAGATACACTCGCAAAATCCGCCCGCGTATGCAAGACGTTCGCCGACTTGGCGCTGCGTGTGCTGTGGGAGCGCTTACCGTCGATATTCCCGCTGCTCAACTTGCTACATCCTAGCTTTGCGTGGCTCGATGAAGGGCGTGAAGGGACGGATGAATCTGAAACACTCTACGATACGTTCGTAAGCTCGTGCCGCCTTCGAGAATGGATTTGCCAGCTGACGGCAGATTATACGCGCAGGTGCTGTATAGCTTGCCCGACGCTGGACAATGGGCTCGCTTCTGCGACTACGCAGCGCGCGTGCGAGTCTTGACCGAGAACTTCAGGGCGTATCTGCACAACGATTACGACTCTACCGATAGCGAGTCTGAAAACAGCGAAGCCGTGGACAAATGGCGCTCCTTTATCGTGCCCTCGGTCTGGGTACACCTCGGTCGTCTCTCGCGAGGTCGCCCCCTCCTTCCCGCCATACGCGAACTGAACTGGACGACTACGGGTCCTGACCAGACCGAGCTCTTCCTTCTCGTGGGTCCGCTCCTCCACACGCTCCGCGTTCACTTCAAACCGCTCTATACGTGCAGCGACGATGAGTACGACTCGAGCCTACCGCTCCTAGTGCGCACCATCGCCTCCGTCGCCCCGGCCATCCGCGAGTTCGCCATCACCGCTGAGGATAAACCTGTCCAAAGTGCCATATACGGTGCGGAGGAGATGAAGCAACTGCGCGTCCTCCGCATAGACGATCAGCATAGGTGGTCTGCTGTGGAGCCCAACAACTTCCCCGACATGACTCGGGCGCTACAGAACCTTGAGGAGCTAGAGAGTCTCACTATCGGCCTGCGCTATGAGGTGCCCGCGGACGAGTCGGCGGAAGAGCTCCGGGCTTTGAGGCATCTGTCGATCACCGACTATTCCGGGAGACCCCAAGCCTATACGGTCTTTCGTGCTCCCAGTCTACGCTCTCTGGCCATCACCTACTGCGAAAGCGTGACCGTCGCCGATACGGCATGCGCAGCAATATCCCAGGCGCTCGTCCACCAGTTCCCGACCATCACCTCGCTCGCGCTCAAGTTCCGCCTCCCAGATGAGTTCACCGCCGCCTCGTTGAACATGCAGGAGGCGATCGCGCCTCTGTTTTCCCTCACTGGCCTCAAAGAGTTCTCGGTCCACTTCCATACAGGAGGACGTGCGTCTGTGAAGAACGCAGACGTGCGCGCCATACTCGACACGTTCTCTCACCTCTCCAGCCTCTCGATCACCCTCACTAGTCCTCCGGACAGAGCCGCTGAGATCACCCCGCCTTCATTCCCCGCCCTCATCGAGCTCGCGCGGAGCGGAAGCCGATTAAAGACCCTCCGCCTCAGCCACCTTCGTCTCACCGAAGAGGACTTGCTGCATAATCTGCCGATTACGGACGCGGACGCGCATCCTCTGTGCTGCCGCACGGTAGAAGTGCTTACGGTGAACACCCTGCAGTATCCGTGGAAGGAGCCGAAGGGGGCGAAAAAGAAGCTGGCGCTGCTCGTGAACGGGCTCTTCCCGAACCTGGATGTGCGCAAGTCGCGCTTGGAGACGCAGGGCTCGGGAGACAAGAGTCTGGACGACATCGGTTATGCGCCCGGGTATAAGAGTCGACAGGAATGGGGCGCAGTGCTCAATGAGGTGGAGGCAATGCGGCGCTCCGCGGCGTCTGGGCCGTAGCCCGTCAGTAATGTGCATTAATGGGACTCTAGGGTCTGGGAAGGAATACTGGACGTAACTTGGTCGCTAGATTTACGGAGTAGATATACAGTAGATCGTTGGAAACACGAAGGTATCGCGACACAAAGGGAGAACTCGGTACTTCATGAACCTCGTGCGCAGTCCTCGAAGTGATAGACAGCAAAGAGGGAAAGTTGAGGAACAGAAGTGCGTACAGAATGTATCGCTCTGACCCAGGGATTGGAAGGAGAAGAGATACCCAGAACTTGGGAATACGGGGTCGCACGCTTGGATGTGTATGAAGCCACGGCGAGCGGGAGCAGGCAAGAGGAAGGACCTGCTGTAGGGCATGCGGACCGGCACTGGTAAGGACGGGACACAACCCACACACTCGTACAGCCCGTCGCACACGGCATGCTGACCGGGAGAAGAGATATCAAAGGCCCTGTTCCAGCTCACGGAGGCAGCCCTGTTGACGGCAACTCCGCTTCCTGTTGTCATCACCATGATTCTTGTCCGGAATCACGGAGGTAGCCTGCAGCTCCGAGCTCTCCATTTCGAGCTGCGGATCCTCCAGGGTACCATCGATCTCGCGCAGGCAGCCTTGTTGGTGGCAACTGCGCCTTGGAGCGTCCTCCCGGGGTTCCAGGAAAATCGCTGCTGAACCGCGGGGAGGTGTTTCTATCTCCACGAACGTGTCGTCAGCGTGAGCATCCGGAACGGCTATGTTCCTCAAAGGCTGCGTTCCGGGTTAGGTGAGACGACTCCGTCGACAGATATGCCGCAGCGCCCACCTCCTCAACGATGGCGCTCGTCTGAAAGACCGAGTCTGGGGCGTCTGCACGTTTCGAGGCAGCAGAAGGTGCAGCCTCGTCGTCCAGACATCCTTGTTGTTGGCAGCTCCTCTGTAGCGTGCACCATTCAGGAACTCTGCCATACTATGAATGCTGCGTATCATGTACCTTCGCGGCCTGAGCGACGAGAGTGGGAGGCAACAGGTCCGCTGCAGGAGGCGGACTGTGCTTTTGGCGGGAAGCGAATATCTAGGGGATTTCAACGTCGTTGAGCAGGGGTGCGATACAAGCAGCTACGGAGCGGAGTCTTGCAGAGGATCAGGGCGGAAATACTTACAAG